GGTTTATTTTTGTCCAATGCTTAACACAAAACTTTGTACATTATAAAAGCATGGAAAAGTCTTGAAGATTGTTCCTAACCTAAGAGTGTCAGTCAGTGATATATTACTGGCTGTCCTCAGCTTGTTTACAGCATAGGTAGAAACACAGTAGGAAACAATGCTTTGATCTTAACTTCTGAGGTAATATTTACTCCCAGTGCTTTAATTACTGACTGGGTTGGTAATCAAGAGACTGGTAACCATGGCTGATGACTTCCAAATGAAGGACTCTATCCAGATATATCTCATACTCCAAATGTTATTGTCTACTTATGGGAAATCTTCATTTGGATGTCTCATGGCACCTTAACCTCAGAACTTTGAGGAACTGATCAGTTTTTCAAACCCACTCTTCTGTATTTCCTCAGTTGAATGGGGAAGCCAGAAACTTGTATATCTTTCTTTGCTCTCATCCTAGTCTAATAACCTGATCCTGTTGATTCTGATTCTCAGAGTTTTTCTCTTATTTGTATTACTGCTTTAGTAATAGGAAACTGCTCATCTTTTCTGCCCTCCTATCCATCCTCTGTATGAAGTCAGAATAGTCTTATTTTTAAGTCAGACTTGATAATATCACTTGTAGTTTAAACCCTTGCTTTCTTTCCACTGTTACCTTCAGGATAAATTTCATACCCCTGATATGTCATAGAAGGTCCCTGCTTACGTCTTAAGTCTCACACTTGCCTCTTTGATCACCTTGAATTACTGCCATTTCTTTATTATGCCAGGCTCTCTTGTCTCCTTGATCTTAAAGGTGCTCTTTTCTCTGGTTGGAACACTTCCTTCCTGCACTTCTTGTGCCCAATTTCTACTCTCCATCCTTTCATTTTCAGCTTAAGTGTCTTCTAGGAAATATATCCTAGTTTCTACTCACCATGACTTCTTAAGAAAGAATCAGGTACTCCTTTTTGTGTTTTCATAGTATCTTATAAACATCCCCACTAATCACTGCACTCAACACATAATCGCCTGTTTACTTGTTTAAATTTCACAAGATTTTAAAGCTCTCTGAGGGTAGAGTTGGAGCTTTGTTAATATTTTATTTGCATCTGGCCGTGAAAGGTGCTATCAATAAATATCTGTTGAATGACTCAATGAATTATTGAATAATAAAGGAATTAAATGTCAGGGTGAAATAAGGAGGTAGGCTTCTTTTGGAGATCAGTTCTTAAGAAAAGCAGATCAAGTGAAAATAAAAATTGTATCTCGTTGAATTATTTTGAGTTGTTATTATGAAGGCCTGTGGGTTTGTTTGTTGCACTATTTTAAAGCTTTTATTGCTGTCATTAATATGTGATCATCCCTGTTACTTGCATGTACATGCCTTTATGTTATTTGGTGGTTATTTGGTGGTTATTGGGGTTTGTGATCCCTGCCTAATGAACTTAATTGTATTAGTATTCTTGCCATAATTTACAATTAACGCCTAGTCTTTGGTTTAGCCTAAAGACTGTAGATTATTTCCCTCTCTCTCTCTCTCTCCTCTGTCTCCTCTTTCTCCTCACTCTCCCCTTTCTCCCCTCTCTCCCCTCTCTCCCTTCTCTCCTCTCTGTGTTTGTGTATTTTGTTCTCTCTCTCTTGGAGACGTGATCTAGTTGTGGCTCCAGAGTAAGTGAGAATTTTGGTTTGGGGCAGGACTTTGGGAGGGTTCTCTTAAAGATGAGGGACTTGGAAGCAACACCCAAAATTTCATCCTCCTTTTCTCTTTTCTGTGAGTAAGGGTGTACTTACTATTTTCCCGATGCTTTACATCTCATTTAATGTTTTCTACAACCCTCTAAGTGGTATGATGCGGGAAGTAACTTTCTCAGAGTTATTCTGTTAGGAAATAGTGTATTTTGAATTTGAACCTCTGTCCCAGTGCAGAGTTCATGAACTTTCCACAACACCAGCAGTTCTTTAGCTTCTTTGAAACTACTGACTTCTTAGGAGTACGAAGAGTCTACAGCCCACTTACCTTACTGATTCTCACTTTCACATAGAAAAAGAATTTAGTGATAGTAACAAAATATTAGGTTGTAGTTCGAGCTTGTATATATGAATTTTACGCTACGAAATAATCCCCTATAAACTTTTAAAACTCAGCAGTTTTATTACATTTAACTTGATATTGTGTTGGAAGTTATTTAAATGGCATACATTTGTCAACAAGACAACATTTATGAAGTATCATTGTATAGGCACTTTGGAGGGGTTCTGTTTACATAGGCTTTGTCAGTAAATGTGCCAGTAATTCCTATTTTAGCCATAATATATACATGATTTATAGTCTAGTGTTGAGAGAATTTAAGTTTCAGTAACAGTTTACTCAAGGATTAACCAAGTCTCCCACAACAAAATTCTGACAAATCTAGTTATTAATAATTAATAATTAGGAAATTGTAAAAATGATAAAGGTACAGCAATTCATAATTAGGAAGCAAGAATAACAATAATGAAAACAAAGACTAACTTAAAATATTACCAATGTCTTTTTTAAAACTGCAGGAATTTCAATCCACTTTCTTTATACACAGAATAGGTACTTTTTTAGGATTGCCAGACCTCTAGTAGTGACTGAATTAAAGTTCTTGAAATCCAGAAATATGCCGGTTTCTCTTTGTATGCTAGTATTAATATCTTTAATAACTCAATTTGGAATGATTACTAGTAAGAATCTCTTAGTCATATGTAATATTAGACTGGAATTGTACCTCCTTTTGTCTGTGAGAAATAAAGAACTTGCTTGTTCTTATTGAATCAGGTCATAGAGGACTTTAGATTATACTTGGAAATACAACCATGCTGTTTTTGTCTGCTAAGGAAGCTTTCCGTGTTAATAAGCATTTGGCTCCTGTGGGTAGAGTTCTTCAGCAGATCCTAACCAGGTTATTAGTCTCTTCTCTTAAAAGGCACAAGTATGCAATTTTAGTATATTATAGTCTCTTTCATTTCTGATTTTAATGAGTCCTGTCTCCATTTTTCTTGGTGAGTCTAACCAGAGGTTTGTTAATTTTGTTTATCTTTTAAAAGAAGCAGCTCTTCGTTTCATTGACTTTTCCTATTGTCTTTTTATTCTCTATGTTAGCAAGTTATTTCTGTTCTGATATTTATTTCCTTCCTTTTGCTAACTTTGGGCTTTGTTCTTTTTCTAGTTCTTTGAGGTGTAAAGTTAGGCTTTTTGAGATTTTTGTTCCTTGATGTAGGCATTTGTTCCTATAAACTTCCCTCTTAGAACTGCTTTTGTAGCATCCCACAGTTTTGGTGTGTTGTATTTCCATTTTCATTTGTCTCAAGGAATTTTTTTATTTCTCTGTTGATTTCTTCTTTGACCCATTGGTTCAGGTTTTTAATATGTTTTGATTTATTAATTTTTAGAGCCTTTTTTCCCCTCACAAAAATTTTCATGACCTCCTATCCTTCTAAAGTTATTATGCAGCACACATTCTTTTCTTCTCTTTTAGTTTTCTTGAAGAGCTAATACTTGATATTTCTACCTTTTTACCTTACAATTCACTCCTCATCTAGTTTCATTCTATATTCAGCTACTTTTTTGAAACTCACTAGTGAGTTTAGAATGTCACTCAGTTGAAGTGAAAAGAGTTCACATTTTGAGTTTGAAGGCCGAAGTACCTATTTTTATCATTTACTCATTGTACAACTCTAAAAAATATATCTTTATTACTCAAAATGTGGCCTGAAGACCAATAGTATTGGGTATCACCAAGGAGCTTGCTAGAAATGTAGAATTTAAGATTCCACCCCAGACCTGTTGAATCAGAATCTAACAAGATCTTCATTTAGAGCAGCACTGTTATGTCATTACCTATGAGACTTAATTTCCCTATTTGTAAAGTATAGATAATACTTGATGTATATATTAATCATCTTACTACCATCTGACATACCATATGTTTTACCAATCTACTTATTGCCTGCTTTCTATTAGAATGTAAGCTTTGCGAGACAGAATTAGAATATAAACTTTGTTTATTGCTTCCATTTCCTGTGTCTAGAACAGTGACTGGGCCATAGTAAACATTCATCTTTTTTTTGTTTTGTTTTGAATGAACATTACTTGTCAAATCTTGCCATTCATATTGCAGTCATTTACTTTCCACTGTCGTTTAGAACTACTTTTATTTAGAATTACTGTATTAGACAGTATAGAACATTTCCATTGTTGCAGAAAGCTCTGTTAGACAATGCTGCTTACACTTTTGTATGCCCTTTCTACCCATCTTAAACCTATATTTCTACAGTATAGTTCTGATCATATCTATCAGTAATTCTCTATGCATATAGAATTAAGTTTAAACTTCTTAGTGTAACCTTTAGAGTATTTACAGTTTCTTATAGTTAAAAATGCATATCTTATTATGGTTGTACTTATTAGGAGAGTCATTTAAACCCATTGCATGCATAGCATCCACCTGAGCCATATTGCATTGCCCTTGTGGACCTTGGGGGAAGGAGAATCTATGAAAATAAGGTGGCGATTCTTTGCTATGCCGTGGAATAAAGTATTTTGTCTTGATTGAGGAGTCTTGTATCTTCTGCCAGCATACATGACACAATAATAGGCTAACTTATTAGTTTATAAGTAAGGTGAAATCCAATCCCAGAGTAGACAGCATTTTCCCACCACATTGAAAATTATTTAAAAATCCAAATTTTAAGATCTGTATAATATTTCATTAAATAGTTTATGTAAATATTTCATTAAAAACTTTTAATCTATTGCTCTATTGTTGTATAGTTAAATTATTTACTCATTAGATTACTGCTTTAAATGGCTTCGTAATAAATATCTTTGAGTGTAACTATTGGTGTTCTTTGATGCTTTTTCCTTAGGATTCCATTCTAGAAGTATAAAGTCCCAAGGAAGGAAAGCTTGCTTTATTTTTTTTTAGTGCATAAAGAAAATTTTTTAATTCAAAAAAATATATATTAACAATATCAACAAATCTCTTTTTCTTTAGAAGATAATTCTAAAGGAGGCACAACTGAAATTACTCAATCCAACTTGAAACCAGGCATCACTACCATTCCTGGAGATTCACACATCGGATCTCATTTACCCTTGTCCCCTGAAGACTTTCCTCAATTTGTCGTAAGGTCTTCTGTGGAGAATACTGTTGGTCAACACACTGATACTCTCAACCAACAAATATTGGCAGATGGTCGTGTAACTGAAGAGACACCAGATGTTTCAGCTGTTCCTGAACTAGCAGACCAGAAGACTGGGATATCAGCAGTACTCTCTAGTTCCTACTCACGAAGAGAGAAACCCAGCGTTTTCTACCCACAGGCCTTGAGAAACAGTAATCTAACTGAAGAGGCTCTAAGAGTTTTAGCTGTTTCTGGAGCTGCTGACCAGAAGGCTGGCATATATACAATTCCTCCAAGTTCCTACTTACTTGGAGAGAAGCATAATATTTTCTACCAACAGGCATTGCCAGATAGTCACACAGAAGGGGCTCTGAAAGTTTCAGCTGTTCTTGCACCTGTTGACCAGAAGACTGAGAAAACAACAGTACCTTCTACTTCTTACTCAAATAGAGAGAAGCCCTTTGTTTTCTCCCAGCAACAGCTACCAGGCAGTCATCTAACTGAACAGACTCTGAAAGTTTCAGGTTTTGCTGAACCAGCTGATCAAACTACTGGGATACCAACAGTACCCTCTACTTCTTATTTACATGGAGAGAAGCCCCATGTTTTCTATCAACAGACAGAAAGTCATTTCACTGAAGAGGCACTGAAAGTTTCAGCTTCTCCTGGACTTGCTGACCAGAAGAGTGGGATACCTACAGTAACCTCTACTTCTTACTCACATAGAGAGAAGCCCTTTATTTTCTCCCAACAAGAGCTGCCAGACAGTCAGCTAATTGAACAGTCTCAGCAAGTTTCAGCTGCTCCTGTACCCACTGAACAGAAGACTGGGATATCAACTGTACCCTCTACTTCTTACTCACATGGAGAGAAACTCCATATTTTTTATCAGCAGGTGTTAACAGAAAGTCATCTAACTGAACAGGCACTGAAAGTTCCAGCTGCCCTTGGTTCTGCTGAAGAGAAGATTGGGGTACCAATAGTACCCTCTACTCCTTACTCACATAGTGAGAAGCCCAGTGTTTTCTACCAACAAGAGTCACCAGACAGTCATCTAACTGAACAGCCTCAGCAAATCTCAGCTGTTTCTGGATTCACTGACCAGAAAACTGGGGTTCCAACAGTTCCCTCTACGCCTTACTCACGTAGAGAGAAGCCCAGTGTTTTCTACCAGCAGGAGTCACCAGACAGTCATCTAACTGAACTACCACCCCAAATTTCAGGTGTTTCTGGATTCACTGACCAGAAGACTGACGGGATACCAACAGTAACTTCTGCTCCTTACTCACATAGAGAGAAGCCCAGTGTTTTCTACCAACAGGAGTTGCCGGACAGTCATCTAACTGAACAGCCTCAGCAAATTTCAGGTGTTTCTGCATTCGCTGACCAGAAGACTGGGGTTCCAACAATAACTTCTACTCCTTACTCACATAGAGAGAAACGCAGTGTTTTCTTTCACCAGGAGTTGCCACACAGTCATCTAAGTGAACGGGCATTGAAAGTTCCTGCTGCTCCTGGATCTGCTGAAGAGAAGACTGGGGTACCAACAGTACCCTCTACACCTTACTCACATAGAGAGAAGCCCAGTGTTTTTTACCAACAGGAGTTGCCGGACAGTCATCTAACTGAACAGTCTCAGCAAATTTCAGCTGTTTCTGGATTCGCTGATCAGAAGACTGGGATTCCAACAGTAACTTCTTACTCACATAGAGAGAAGCCCAGTGTTTTTTACCAACAGGAGTTGCCAGACAGTCATCTAACTGAACAGCCTCAGCAAATTTCAGCTGTTTCTGGATTCGCTGATCAGAAGACTAGTGGGATTCCAACAGTAACTTCTTACTCACATAGAGAGAAGCCCAGTGTTTTTTACCAACAGGAGTTGCCAGACAGTCATCTAACTGAACAGCCTCAGCAAATTTCAGCTGTTTCTGGATTCGCTGATCAGAAGACTAGTGGGATTCCAACAGTAACTTCTTACTCACATAGAGAGAAGCCCAGTGTTTTTTACCAACAGGAGTTGCCGGACAGTCATCTAACTGAACAGTCTCAGCAAATTTCAGCTGTTTCTGGATTCGCTGATCAGAAGACTGGGATTCCAACAGTAACTTCTTCTCCTTACTCACATAGAGAGAAACGCATTGTTTTCTATCAGCAGGAGTCACCAGACAGTCATCTAACTGAACAACCTCAGCAAATCTCAGCTGTTTCTGGATTCACTGACCAGAAAACTGGGGTTCCAACAGTTCCCTCTACGCCTTACTCACGTAGAGAGAAGCCCAGTGTTTTCTACCAGCAGGAGTTGCCGGACAGTCATCTAACTGAACTGCCTCAGCGAATTTCATCTGTTTCTGGATTCACTGACCAGAAGACTGGTGCGATACCAACAGTAACTTCTTCTCCTTACTCACATAGAGAGAAGCCCAGTGTTTTTTACCAACAGGAGTTGCCGGACAGTCATCTAACTGAACAGCCTCAGCAAATTTCAGCTGTTTCTGAATTCGCTGACCAGAAGATTGACAGGATACCAACAGTAACTTCTTCTCCTTACTCACATAGAGAGAAGTCTAGTGTTTTCTACCAACAGGAGTTGCCAGACAGTCATCTAACTGAACAGCCTCAGCAAATTTCAGCTGCTTCTGAATTCGCTGACCAGAAGATTGACAGGATACCAACAGTAACTTCTTCTCCTTACTCACATAGAGAGAAGCCTAGTGTTTTCTACCAACAGGAGTTGCCGGACAGTCATCTAACTGAACAGCCTCAGCAAATTTCAGCTGCTTCTGAATTCGCTGACCAGAAGATTGACAGGATACCAACAGTAACTTCTTCTCCTTACTCACATAGAGAGAAGCCTAGTGTTTTCTACCAACAGGAGTTGCCGGACAGTCATCTAACTGAACAGCCTCAGCAAATTTCAGCTGCTTCTGAATTCGCTGACCAGAAGATTGACAGGATACCAACAGTAACTTCTTCTCCTTACTCACATAGAGAGAAGCCTAGTGTTTTCTACCAACAGGAGTTGCCGGACAGTCATCTAACTGAACAGCCTCAGCAAATTTCAGCTGTTTCTGGATTCACTGACCAGAAGACTGACGGGATACCAACAGTAACTTCTGCTCCTTACTCACATAGAGAGAATCCCAGTGTTTTTTACCAACAGGAGTTGCCATACAGTCATCTAACTGAACAGGCACTGAAAGTTCCATCTGCTCCTGGATCTGCTGAAGAGAAGACTGGCATACCAACAGTTCCTTCTACGCCTTACTCACATAGAGAGAAACCCAGTGTTTCCTACCAGCAGGAGTCACCAGACAGTCATCTAACTGAACAGCCTCAGCAAATTTCAGCTGTTTCTGGATTTGTTGATCAAAAGACTGGGGTTCCAACAGTACTGTCTACTCCTTACTCACATAGAGAGAAACGCATTGTTTTCTACCAGCAGGAGTCACCAGACAATCATTTAACTGAACAGCCTCAGCAAATTTCAGCTGTTTCTGGATTCGCTGACCAGAAGACTGGGGTTCCAACAGAACTGTCTACTCTTTACTCACATAGAGAGAAACGCATTGTTTTCTACCAGCAGAAGTCACCAGACAATCATTTAACTGAACAGCCTCAGCAAATTTCAGCTGTTTCTGGATTCGCTGACCAGAAGACTGAGGTTCCAACAGAACTGTCTACTCCTTACTCACATAGAGAGAAGCCCATTGTTTTCTACCAACAAGAGTCACCAGACAGTCATCTAACTGAACAATCTCAGCAAGTTTTAACTATTCCTGGATTCACTGAACTGAACACTGGGATACTAACAGGGTCCTCTGGGTCCTACTCGTTTGAAGGAAAGCCCCATATTTTCTACCGGCAGGCATTACCAGATAGTCATCTAACTGAAGAATCTCTGAAAGTTTCATCTGCTCCTATACCAGGTGACCAGAAGACTGATATACTAACAGTACCCTCTAGTTCCAGCTCACATAGAGAGAAGCCCAATATTTTCTACCAACAGGAGTTGTCAGACAGTCATTTAACTGAACAGACTCAGGAAGTTTCAACTGTTTCTGGACCATCATCTGACCAGAAGACTGGGATAACAACAGTTACTTCTACTTCTTACTTTCATAGGGAGAAGCCCTTTATTATCTACCCACAGAGTTTATCAAACAGTCATCTACCTGAAGAGGCTCTGAAAGTTACAGTTTTTCCTGGACCAGCTGACCAGAAGACTGGGTTACCATCAGAACCTTCTAGTTCCTACTCTACTAAAGAGAAACCTATTAGTTTCTATCCACAGGTCTTACCAGACATTCATTTTACTGAAGAGGCCCTGAAAGTTTCTACCATTTCTGAACCACCTGACCAGAATACTGGGGTACCAACACAGAGCTTGACAAAGGGTCATGTACCTGAAGAGGCTCTGAAAGTTTTAGTTGTTCCTAGACCAGCTGACCAGAAGACAGGGGTACCAATAGTACTCTCTACTTCCTATCCACATAGAGAGAAGCACATTATTATTTCACCACAGGCCTTGCCAGACAGTCATCTACTTGAAGAGGCTCTAAAAGTTTTAGCTGTTTCTGGACCTGCTGACCAGAAGACTGGGTTACCATCAGAACCTTTTAGTTCCTACTCAGATAGAGAGAAGCCCATTATTTTCTCCCCACAGAGCTTGACAAAGAGTCATATACCCGAAGAGGATCTGAAAGTTTTAGCTGTTCCTAGACCAGCTGACCAGAAGACTGAGACTGAGGTACCAATAGTACCCTCTACTTCTTACCCACATAGAGAGAAGCACATTATTATTTCACCACAGGCTTTGCCAGGCAGTCATCTACTTGAGGAAGCTCTAAAAGTTTCAGCTGTTTCTGGACCTGCTGACCAGAAGACTGGGTTACTATCAGAACTTTCTAGTTTCTACTCACCTAGAGAGAAGTCCAGTATTTTCTCCCAACAAGAGTTGCTACATAGTTATCTAACTGAAGAGACTTTGAAAATTTCATCTGCTTCTGGAATAGGTGACCAGAAGACTGGGGTACCAACAGTACCTTCAAGTTCCTACTCACTCGGAGGGAAACCCATTATTTTCTACCAACAGGCCTTACCAGATAGACATCTCACTGAAGAGGCTCTGAATGTTTCAGCTTCTCCTGGACCAGCTGACCAGAAGATTGGGATACCTACAATAACCTCTCCTTCCTACTCTCTTAAAGAGAAGCCCCTTATTTTCTACCCACAGTCCTTGTCAGACAGGCAGCTAACTGAAGAGGTTCAGAAAGTTTCAGCTGTTCCTCTACCAAGTGACCAGAAAACCAGAATACCGTTAGTGACCTCTGCTTCCTACTCAAATAAAGAGAAACCCATTATCTTCTACCAGCAGGCCTCGCCAGATAGTCAGCCAACTGTAGAAGCTCTGAAAGTTTCAACTGTTCCTGAACCAGGTGACCAGAATACTAGAAAACCAGCAGTAACCTCTGCTGCTTACTCACAGAGAGAGAAGCCTGTTATTTCTTACCAACAGAAGTTGCCAGGTAGTCATCTAACTGAAGAGGCTCCGAAAGTTTCAGGTATTCCTGGAACAGCTGACCAGAAGACTGGGTTACCCGTAGTACCATCTAGTTTCTATTCTTATAGAGAGAAGCCCATCATTTCTTACCAGGAAGAATTGTCAGATCTTACTCAGACGGCTTTAAAAGTTTTAGGCATTTCTGGACCAGGTAACCAGAAGACTAGGATACCAGTAGTAACTTCTACTTCTTATTCACATGGAGAGAAGCCTGTTATTTCTTACCAGCAAGACTTGCCAGATCCTAATGAAGATGCTTTAAATGCTTTAGTGGTTCCTGGACCAGTTGATCAGAAGACTGGTATACGAATTGTGCCGCCTTCTTCCTATTCACATAGAGAAGGTTCCATCTTTTCTTACCAGAAGGAATTGCCAGATATTACTGAAGAAACTTTGGAAGTTTCCACTGTCCCTGGACCAGCTGACCAGAAGACTGCAATACAAATAATCCCCTCTAGTTCCTACTCATATAAAGAGAAGGGCAGTATTTTTAACCAGCAGAAGCTGCCAGATACTACTGAAGAAGCTTTAAACGTTTTTGTTATTCCTGGACCAGCTGACCAGAAGACTGAGATACTAGCAGGACCTTCTAGTTCTTACTCACATAAAGAGAAACCCAAGATTTCGACTGTGATTGGACCAGATGACCAGAAGACTCCATTACTGACAGTTTTTCATAATTCTTATTCTCAGAGAGTAAAGCCCAGTATTTTCTTTAAACAGCATTTGCCAGGTAGACATCATGGTGAAGATATTCTGAAGATTTCATCTGTCCCTGAACCAACTGACGTGAATTCTGGGATACCAGTACATCTTCCTAGTTCCTATTCTCACAGAGAGAAATCTAATATTTCCTACCCACAGGAATTGCCAGACAAACATCTAACTGAAGATGTACTGAAGATTTCAGCAATTCCTGGATCAGTTGACCAAACAACTGTGTTACCAGCAGCAACTCCTAGTTTTATTTCACACAGAGAAAAACCAAATACATTCTCTCAGTGGGATTTGGCAGATAGGTATCTAACTGAAAACGCCCTGAAGTTCTCACGTGGTCCTGGGCAATCTGATCAGATTACTGGGTTATCAACAGTTTCCCCTGGTGCTTATTATTCACATAGTGAGAAGCACAAACTTGTTTCAGACCATGTCCAAAAACTAATAGATAATTTGGATTCTCCTAACTCTAGTATTATCTCAAACAATATGTCTTTAAATTCTCAGGCTGATGGTAGAATTGTAATAAATAAGCCAGAACCTTCAGGTTTTGATGATGTAGGCTCTGAGGAATTCCAATATACAGACAATGGTTCTAAAACTCTTAAAGAGATTCGGACACTTTTAATGGAGGCAGAAAATATAGCACTGAAACGATGCAATTTTCCTGCTCCCCTTGTCCCTTTCAGAGATGTTAGTGATATTTCATTTATTCAGTCTAAGAAGGTGGTTTGCTTCAGAGAACCCCTTAAAACTGATGAATCTAATGTCGATTTGCCTCAGAGACAGCCATTCACAGAGGAAAGCCCAAGCAACAAGTGTATACAGAAAAATATTAGCACACAGACGAATCTCAAATGCCAGAGAGGCATTGAAAATTGGGAGTTTATTAGTTCAACTACAGTTAGAAATCCTCTACAAGAAGCAGAAAGCAAAGCTAGAGAGGGATTAGATGAAACCCTTCGGCACTGTAAAGCAGTCAAATCTGTAATGAGATCTGAACCTGAAGGGTGTAGTGGAACCATTGGGAATAAAATTCTCATCCCTATGATGACTTTCATAAAAAGTGATTCAAGTAGTGATGCAAGTTCCTGTTCATGGGACAGTAATTCGTTAGAGTCAGTTTCTGATGTTCTTCTAAACTTACTTCCATATGCTTCACCGAGGACAAGCATGACAGATAGCAGAGAGGAAGAGGGTGTGTCAGAGAGTGATGATGGGTGTGGTAGTAGTGTAGATTCACTGGCTGCACATGTGAAAAACCTTCTGAAATGTGAATCCTCATTGAATCATGCTAAACAAATACTCAGAAATGCGGAGGAAGAGGAATGTCGGGTACGAGCACGAGGTAGGAATTGATAATTTGTTATTAAGTCAGATGAAGCTTATACACATAGTTTAATAAGTTAAGTGTTTGGAATTCTAAATTTATTTTCTTGTAGAATGTTAGGGTGATTACACTTTCCACTAGCAATCTAGTTTACGTCCATTTAACCAATGATGTAGCTAAATCACAGTATTAATAGTGCTAGTCTGAGTTTAGGTCCTTATGAAAAGTAGGTTCTTATGTCGGAGAGTAAGGAGATAGCTTGGGTTTCCAGACTCCTAAAGCTTTTATGTTTCCCCTAATCTGCCCATTGTAATACACTTATTTTGGATACAGAAAAAAACAAAAAACAGTTTGCTCTGCTCTAAATCACTCTATCATAAAACTATATATACTTTCTCATCCCTTTGCTAATGAAATTCTTAGAGCAAATCTTAGACATTAGAAAAAAACTAATCAAGGTATTTCACACTAAAACTTGAGTTAACATATTTAAAAGAATATTTGCTAATCCCATTAGTCTCTAATAGTAAAATTCCATTAAAAAAGAAAAAAAGTCTTGACAATATGAGGAATATATTTTGGAGGGCAATTTATAAGCAGGCCTACCTGGGAATCTTTCCTTGAGATTAACTGCCTGTATCATTTCTTCTATTGCTTACGCATATTTTGATTCTCAAAAAACAACTGCAAGTTTTATTATTTTAAAATACCAGCTCTCATGGAGGTGACAGTAACTAGCATGAGCTAATGGGGAAGGCAGAGAGATTGTCTTGATTAGAAGGAAGATTAAGATAATATGATTGAATACCATATTTAATGTGGCCTCTTTGGAGAAATATCTGTAGAATATGGTAAAATCAGACTTTTAAAGTGAAATGATCTCAAGAACTTGTAATAGTTTGTCATATAATTGAGAGTATATGTTTTTTGCTAAGCATGTGGTATGCATTAAATTGGGTTATTGATGATCTTCTGTGCTCTTATAATCACTAACAAATTATCACATTTGCGTTGTCTTATCTCAAGTGTTTTTATGCTTTCTCTCCAGCCTGGAATCTGAAGTTTAATATGGCTCGTGACTGTGGCTACTCCATTTCAGAATTAAATGAGGATGACAGGAGAAAAGTAGAAGAGATCAAAGCAAAATTATTTGGTCATGAGAGAACAACAGATTTGTCCAAGGTATTAAAGAAATCTAGTCTAACCAGTATACTGTGTACCAGAAACTAATATAAAAAAATATGGAATGCCAACTGTAATTGGGGAGAAAAAAGAAAGAGAAAAGAAAACTATAAAAGAGAAAATGTAGAAGAAAGGGGAGTAGAATTTGGATGTCTTACGTAGACCTTGGTGACTAGCTGAGTTACTGATATGATAGTCTTTGGCTTAAAATATTAAGAGTCTTAAATCTTCAAAAGTTAAGATTAAGGATTAATTCTATAGGTTTTGATTAATTCCAAATATATCTATTGAAAAAAACTTACTTCCTTTGGAAAATAAGAGTGGATTTGTTTTATTGGTAAATTGTCACTTCTGTTTTCTCTTGAGGGTGATATCAGCTATTTTTAGATGTATATTCTCTGCTTAAGAACACAGAGCTATAATAGCCTACGTATAAGTGACTTTCTTTTTAATAGTATTTATTTTCCTTCTGTTGTGAACTGTTTCAGGCGTAGAAAAGAATCTATCTATATATCTATAGATATACATATCATGTATATAAAGAATAAAGTAAAATTAATTTCTGTATATTAGCCATTCTGTTTGAGAAATAGAATGTTACCAAAGAGCACTGAAGTCCTGTGTCCCTTTCCCCAGTCATAACTCTTTTACTTCCTATCCTGACATGTATTGGTTTTCTTGCTGTTCAGTATGGTTTGAACTCTATAATAGGTGGAATTAACATGGTATATATAATTGTGTTTTTCATACAGTTGTAGGTTTTTGAGATTCTTCTGTGTAATTGTACATAGCTTTAGTTTATTCCTTTTTATTTCTGTACGTATTCATTGTATCAATATAACATAGTTTATCCATTCTCTTGTGGGTAGGGCATTTGGTCTTCTATTATGAACAGTAATAGGGTATAATAATACCTGTCTTAATAGGGTTTTCGTATGGCTTACCTGAGATAATGCCTATAAAATACCTAGTAGAATGTGTGGTGTCTAGTTAGTACTCAGTAATTGGCACTTGCAGTTATTATTAATCCTGTAAAAATTGATATGGGTATCATATGTGTAGACTTTATAGCCTAATTCATAGTTTCTTAGAAAATTGTTCATATAGCATAATTATTTTGACTTATCAATTTTAGAAAAGTTTTTTTTAATTTGTTTATTTTAATTAGTTTCAAGTATACAGCACATTAGTTACACATCTACATAGTTCATAAAATGATCCCCTCAATTGCTCCCTCCCTCCCCTGGCCCTCCACTTAGCTGACATATTAATGCTAACTGCATTCCCTATGCCATGTTCCCCATCCCCGTGACCAACTATCAACTACTAATTTGTACTTCTTTAACCCTTCACCTCATTCTCCCAGCTTCCCAACCCTTCTTCCCTCTGTCCATCACCAAATTGTCAACTACATTTGTGAATCTGTTTTTGATTAGTTTGTTCTTTTTGTTCCTTAGACTCCACATATATGTGAAATCATATGGTATTTATCTTTCTCTGTCTGACTTAATTTCACTCAGCATAATAACCTCTAGGTCCATCCATGTCATTGCAAATGATAGGATTTCATTTTTTTTAATGGCTGAGATCTTGGCTATTGTAAATTGTGCCATCATGAATACTGGGGTGCATAGATCTTCACGAATTATTGTTTTGGTTTTCTTTGGATAAATACCCAGAAGTGCAGTTGCTGGCTCAAAAAGTATATTCATTTTTAATTTTTTGAGAAACCTCCATACTGTTTTCCATAGTGGCTATACCAATTTGCAGTCCCACCAACAATGTATGAGGGTTCCTTTTTCTCCACATCCTCGCCACCACTTGCTCTTTTTTGATTTATTGGTGATAGCCATTCTGACAGGTGTGAGGTGAAAAGGTTTTTACAAGTATAAATTAGATTGGATTTTAGGTTTACATATATGCTTGTGAAAAACAAAATTAACAAATAATAAAATAGATGATTAGTTACCTTAGCATTCTTTGTTTAAAGTATGTATTTTCCCGTGATCTTTATTTCCTTATTTCTTTAATCTTCATATGTTGATGTTTTCATACCCCCTCAGAAATCAAATTGCCTTTCTTTAGGTAGACTGTAGTTTGTATTCCTCTTAAAATAGAGTGTCCTGAATTAAATTAAGCCTAGAATTTCACATGTGATCTGACCAGCATGAAGTATATTTAGTAATTTTCTTTGCTGATGTTTTCTTTTATGATTTTTAATGTTCATATCATACTATGGCATGTAAAAAAGAAAGAAAGAAAAAAACATGAACTGCTGTCCAGATTTTTATTCTCATTTCTTGTGCATAATTCTTTTTTAATTCTGCTGTATCTTATTGATTTTATATCAATGTTCAAGCCTATTGAAATGATTTTATATTTTAATTAGGTCATCTATTATATTAAATATCTCTCCAGCTTTGTGGCATTTATTCAGTAAATATTTTTGTCCAAATATTTGATAAAAATGTTTAAAGACAAAGTTATCAGGGAAAAGTCTAAAATTTCTTGAATAAGATTTTCTAACTGGAGTAATTACCATGATATCATTCAACCTGCAGTTTACGTGTGTTATATTTGACTTCCTTCAATTTCTTATCTGAGTAATTATGAACTATAGTTTGTCAGGTATAACTTGGTCTTAGTGAACTCATGTTGGTCACAACTGTATATATATTTTTGGATGCTTTTTAATTTAAATATATGATCATTTCTCCTTAAAACTACTCTAAAAACAACTTTATGTAGGTATATAATATTCCATTTTATGATTATAAGACTTTAATCATTCCTCTATTGTTGGAAATTTACTTATTCATTCAAAAAATGCTTATTAGATACCTAACATTTGCCAGTCCATATGCCGAGGACATATCACTGAAGAAAATAGACAAAAATTCCTTCCTTACATTCAAGTGAGAGGGTACAGATAGCAACCAAATAAATAATTAAACTGTATAATATTTCAGTTGGTAAGATGCCAAGGAAACAAAGCAGAATGGTCAAGGAATGCCCTGACAAGGAAATATTGGATCAAATATCTAAAGATGGTACAGGAGCAAGCCATTTGGATATCAGTAGCATTCCAGACAAAAATAGCATGTACAAAATCCCTGATGTTAGAGGGTGCCTGGTGTGTTAAAGGATAGTAAGGAGGCCTGTCCTTACTAAAGATAGTAATGTTCAAGATAATTGGAGAGAGACACTAAAAGAGAGAAGATTGAATTGTGGAGGGCAGTAGTTCTTATCAGGGACAGTAAATGCCTCCCAAAGGCATATTTTAGAAATTTATGTCTGTTGTTTTAGTCATCACATAATGGAGGGTTGCTTCTGGAAGGTAGTAGATAGGTGTCAGAGATATTAGAAGTCTTGCAATACAGAAGAAAGTCTTGCACAATGAAGAGTTTTTCCTTATCACATGCAACATTTAAAATTCATTTCTGTAAAAAACCTGTTTTAATTATTTCAATGTTTCATTTCATTGTCATGCTTTTTAGGTGGTTTTACTGTAGAACATTTCTTGTTTTTCCTTGTCTTTCATCACTTTGACATTTTTGAAGAGTACAGCCCAGTTACTTTGTAGAATGTCCCTCAAAGTGAATTTGTCTGATGTTTTGTCACAATTAGATTCAAGTTTGATTTTTCTGTAGAAACACAACAGAAGTAATGATGTACTTTTCCTGTTGTATCATATCAGGAGATGCATTATGTTCATTTGTCTTAATACTGACAATGTTAGCTTGTACCACTAAATTAAGATGGTATCTTAATAAAAAGGTAAGTTTTCTCCACTTTAAAGTTAATTTATAAGTGTGTCTTATATATCAATCAATAAATAACAAGTATGAGGGAGAGATACTTTGAGACTATGTAAATATCTTGTTATTAAACTTTAACCTAATTTAGTGTCTGTTGATGATTTGAACTGAATCATTAATAAGCTGCAATATAGAGATTGAAAAAATTTGTTTAGCATTTCTTTAACATTTATTACTTGGAATTCTAAGAGTTTTCCATTATTCTCCCCATATATTATATCAGCATGGACTCTTGGATTTTTCTTTTACTCAAAGGGTATAACCTATTGCTACTGTTGTTTATTTTGATACTTAAATTATCCCACACTGCCAGTGAGAGCCCTTTTAAGTTGGCTGCTGTGTAGTTTTGATATATCTCCATTATTCTTGGAGCACCTACTTAGAAGAAGATATTCCAAGCAAATCTTTTATTTTCTCTTCACCAGCCCTGAAATCAGACATTTCTCCAAAGGGCCCCTATTCCTTTTAGAAGAGGCTGGTATGTAGAAGCCAAGATCTGTATGCTAGGTGTGCTTACTGATCTTGTGATGCTATTGCATTTAGGCATCCTCAGCAGATAGTTTGTATATACATAATTATACACACATTCCCTGCCCCCCCCGTTCTCTTATTTATCAATATTAAAAAACCATTAGAACTGTCAGTGTACACTGGTACGAACGTTGAGTTCCATTTCAGTACCATTGGCATAGTCTAGCCTTTCCTCTTTCTATATTTGTAACTCACTTCCTTGATAGTGAGAAACTTGGCTTTCATTATCCTTAATATATTTACCTATTTGCTTAAACTCCCCTGTATGTTTCTCCCTTGGCCTCAGCAATCATAGTAGCCTCAACAGGTCAGGTTTCTTTCATAGTCTCAAGTCCCATTCCCAACCCATAAGTTTTGTATGTAATACCATTATCATTATACCATATCGAATATTTTTAAATTTTCATTAATATCTTCCAACAATAAAAGACATAATGTAGTAGGATATTTTCAATATGCTGAAAAAAAGTATCTACCTAGAATTCTATGCCCAGTGAAAATCTCTTTCAAGAATGAGGCAAAGTATGAGCACACAGTGTAAACATATATGCCTTACTGTTAAAATGTACAGCTGAAACTTATTGGATTTCTTTAACCAATGTCAGCATAAAAAAATTAAAAAAAAAAAATGAGGCAAAATAAAATGATTTT